GATCATAATTTCATGAGAAGCAGTTTAGAGAGTGAAAAAAACGTAAAAACCCAAACAAAATAAAAATCCCAGTTGGCTACTTTCCCTACGTAGTAAATAGTAAACTTACTACAGAAGTTGCTTGCTAAATATCTGAATTTACTGCCATGCTACATAAATGTCCTAGTTTTGCTTCCACTTTCCATTTTATAAGTGGTATCAGAATTTCTGCACGCTTGTTCATTTGCAAGGTTGGGCTTGACTGAAAATCTTCAGTTTGAATGATCTGTGAACAACAGTCTCTGATACACCACTGCTTAACAACAGGCTTGTGATTAAATATCTCTTATCCTCTAGGCATAACTAAAAATGGATTTTAAATGGCACTGGTATAGAAGCAATGCTTTTTCACCTACACCTTTTACTCACAGAAGGTTTTTGCCCCATCAGAGTTCATTCAGCATTCAGACAAAAAATGTAAGTGGTACTGCCTAGCAAGGAAGAAGCTACTCCTAAAACTGATTTGATTAGAAGAAAACTTCTGCTCTCATGATGTTTGGTCCCTTTCAGACGATTTTTCTCAATTTTTCTCAGCTACTCAATTCTGTGCTTTGGCAGATGGAGATGGTGATGGGTCAAGTCTCTCGTCAAGAAGTAACAAGTTTTTAGAAAATTTTTTATCATACAAAACTCAGATATATGAATAATAGGGTGCCTCTTAGCACCTGCTTAATTATTACATTCAGGCTATATATCTTCTACAGGCATTTTTATATATCTCTAAGAGGATTTATGGGATGGAGATGCTATTTAAAAAACAGATGACGAGGTCAATGCAGCCCAAGGTATTTCATTTCAGCTTTACAATTAACATGCACACTGGAAGTGCTGAAAAGATCTCTGAAGAGTAGTGGATTTGTCAAATGCTCTGGCAGTCTCTCACATGCATTTTCAAGGGGAAGTAATGGAAGACCAACAGCAAATATCAGAAAGCCACAGATAGCTCTAGGAGAGAGTGCTGCAAAAAAAACCAATGTGCCACAAAGAAGCACTAGATACAGAATTTATTTATTGCAGTAAGTTACACCAGTGAAAAAGATCAGCTTTGCTAAATGGACCTTGTTGAAAATGAAGTGAGCTTCACTCTCTCTTGATAGTTAACTTTCAACTGCCACACTTTGGTGGCAGAATTCATTGAACTTGTGTCTGTTTTTAAAAGAAATGTGCCTTCAAGCATTACCCTTTGACCAGTATTATTATTTCTATCTGCCTCAGGAAACACAGAAAGAGCAGTTTAGATGCTGTCTTATTAGAGATAGGGCCATGTAGGTTGAAGAAGGAATATACTAGGACACGCTATTAAACTTAAACTCCATGCACTGACCTGGAACCAGAGCATTTCTGTGAGAGCTGGCCCTCTCTGGGAAAACCACTGTTTGTTTGAACTCAAGCTTGGAAAATGTCTCTAAAGTGAACTGAAACGATATGGATTTGAACAAATCTACTAATACATATATAAGCTATACTATGTAGCATGCATCCCAACAGAGGGACAGCATTATATAACTATTATTAAGGAAAAAGCATCACTGAAGAGGAAAAGCAGAGAAGGAGAGGAAGGAAGAAAAAGAAATCTGGAAAGTAGAGACCTGGGGGATGAATTAGTAGAGAAGAGTCAGTGGTTTCATTTTCACTTGTCTCCCCGGGCCTTGGTAATGCCTACAGCTCAGCTTACTATATTTAGAAATGGATGTCTTCCTGCAGGTTTATTCAGTGATTTGAACTGGAAAAAATTCTCTTGTTTGGGGGAAGAGAAATGGAGAGGGTAAAATATCTTCTTGTGCCACAAAGACTGAAATTTCAGATGCAACTAAGTCTTCAGTAGAATAAGACACTCAATTGTGAACCAGAACTTGGGGTTAAATATACTTACATAATTTTAGCATTAGTGGTTGGATACAAAAAAGCAGTCATTTATTTCTCCATTTGTTTGCAGCTCCAGTCTCTGAAAGATAACTTGTTTTCCCAGACACAGTTGGCAGGAAAGTCAGATTTTCAGTTTATGAGATACCATTATTTTCCTTTCCACCATCCCTGCCACATATTTACATCAGAAACAAATCAGCAACTCTTTGAAAAATTGCCAATAAACCAGAAACCAAATTTTTTTATTTCAGAGAAGAAAAACAATCGCATTTCTAACATAAAATACCATTTTTCCATTATTGGGTGGGCCATCTTTATGCCAGCTGAACAAGAGAAAATTGGGACCAAATTAAGAGATACTCTTAATTTGGTACCAATTCAAAGGTGAAGCAGGGCTGGAACACGATTGCCTATTAACCCTATGGGAAGGATTATAAGGCAATCCCAACCTATGGAAAGGATAGTTGTATTCTGAGGGGGAGAGGAGGGGTTACTGACAGTAAATCTGTGGTCTGCTGGAAACTTTCACAGGGAGAGCGCTGAGCAGCAAATGCTGTCCAAAATGGATACAAATATGTTGTCAAGTCGCTGTGACAGATCCATTATGGGTGAGCAGCTTAGCAAAATGAACTCGATCTCAACTGTCTCACAATATAAATGCCACAAGCTCAGAAGGACCTGAGCTTCCAGTTCCCTCATCCCTTACTCTGAGCTTTGCAAAAGTGAGTTGGCATTCAAGAGAAGCAGCAGGTCAAGGAAAGCCTTATTCACAAGAACAGCCACTCTGGGAAAGACCCTCCTGTTACAAGCCAAATCTGCCACACTGTGAAATTACACATTTTCAAACACATATGCTCCCACAGTTGCTCTCTTCTTCTCCAGCTGCAGAAAGCAAATTTCAGTGCAGTTACAGAAAACAAGTCATATATCTATTTGCATATTCTGATTTCTCAAATTACACCAGAATGTCATAGCATGTGGCATTTTTTTTCCTACCATGAACTAATGAAAGAGCACAAGAAGGAAAATGATCAAGTGGCGGTAGCAACTTGTAAAATGACATTTCCTCATGATGTATACATGGGACATAGATGTGCATGCTATAGCTTTTAAAATGTATTCAGTTTCCAAAACCAGAATATTTAACACAAAGTTAAGTTTTATGATAACATTTAAGGCCACACTACAATCTTTGCTCATGCTTATGTGATTGTTCAGCAAAAGGCACTTCAGCACATGTTTAAGTCTCATTAATGTCTCAAGAACGAGGACCTTCTGGCTTGCTGAGCCATGGCATGAACAACCAGCCAAACTCCAAGGATCTCCAGAATAACCACAGTAGCAAGGCAGCAGAGTGGGGACTGAGAAAAGGTGAAGTACTCTATCTCCACTATTCTGGAAGATTTCTCTCGCACTGTGGTGAATTTACTAGGAAATGAAATAACCTGCAAGATTTGATATTATTTCTTCCCTTTAAAATTACTGCTAAAGCAGACACCAGAGTTTCATAGAAAATCTCTTGCTACTTCAGTATAGTACAAATATTGCTACACATGTAGATCTGAATCCAGGGACACATGGATGAGTATATCAGAGAAAAGCCATAGCCAAACATATCCTCCTAGCCAACATGCTGAGAGACAAAACTGCTGGAGATATCCTCATCGTAGAAAATACAGACAACTCAACTTGTTTATTAAAATTTAACCCTGGCCTTGCTCCAAAATCCACCTAGTGTGAGGTCTTACTGTTTTTCAGCTCTGCTCAGTAAACAGACTGACAGGCGACACCATGGCTCCTCACCTTAGCCAAGGTCCAGGTGAGTTTTCTGCCATTTCAAGCCAGCCAACACTCTGTGGCTCATTCATGGTGTGAGGATTCCTCACTTATATCCAAGTGTTGCCCAACAGTTGTCACATAAATCATACTTAGTAGTCGCTTTAAGCCACCTGAGTACTTCAGCAACCATTTCCACTTCCCATCCACATACATTTTTTTAGAGCACATAGTCCAGTGTTTACTACTATACACCTTTTCAAGACCTATGTACCTTGGTATTTGCAGCAGTGAGTATATTGGTGCCAATTCTAGCTCTGGAGGTGTTTTGAGATGAAGAAGCACTTTTACTTTTCTTTAACTGGCCAAATCCTCATTGGTCATGATTTGCTTGTTTTGTCTGCTTTTCATTGTTTTGTTGTTTTAACAAAAATAATTATATTAACGCCATGAACTATGATTAGCTATCCAATCTAATAGACTTTGAATTTTGCATTTTATTCTCAAACTACTGCATAATAATATTAGCACAATTTGTTGAAGTAAGCAATCTTCAGTTTTTCAGTGTGCCCATATTAAAAGAAAAGAGGTATTAACTTATGTAAACATCTGACCTAAGTTACCATTTTCAAATGATGACCTTATGAGAGTGAATAAAGAAGCAGCTATTAACATAAACTGGTAGACTGCCATGAAACCAAAGGAGAAAGATAATGGGCTATCAAGCAGATTAGCATGAACTAAAACTGAAACAAACAACCCACACACTGAAAAAAAAAAAAAAAGGTAATAAACCAGCCTCCAGTCTTCAGTATTTACTGCACATATAATGTCAGGTTGTTATTTTTACTGACATCTTTCTGAGCCTCTGCACGTTGCAATACCCTCTATTAGAAACAACACTGTCAGAACAGAAATAGCTTCATTTTCAGCTCTGTCTCCACTGAAAGTTTATTTTCGACTTTTTAAACTCCAAATTCATCCCTGAGGTGGAACAATATCCAATGTATGACTGCTGACCCATACATAATGGTACGACTGCAATAAATAATTCTAATAATTAATTTAAAAGCAAAGCAATATGATTACTAATTTTTAAAAGTGAGTTTACTTGAGTTCTTACACATACAGTGCATGTTCACTGCACAGTTTACCTCTCTTGTACTTTTGAACTACATGTAGATAGTGCTCCTTCATTTTCTCCACACACCAGTTACTGGCATTATTCCCTAACAGAGAAGCAACTTCTCCCAAATACCTTCAGCAGATTTTATTCTCTTCTGCTATCCTTAAAGGACCTGTCTGAACTTGGCAATTACGGCTCCAATTTCATCTCCTTTGTCCTTTTGCTGTGTTCAAATCATGCAACTGATAATAAAAACAGAATGAATCAAAATGGGGAGTTGCCATCACAAGTAATTAAGCACTAGCAATGAGAGAAACCCAAGACACTGAACCAGGAATAATGAAGGATGTTTTTAGCTGTATTTGTTCATTTTCCCATTCCCATCAGCTTCTCACTGTCGCTCCTCCACTATAACCTCTGCCATTGAAATCTCACTTTTGGGCTCTTCATTTCCCTTTCACCTTCATATTTCCAACTAGGTGGAATGTCATTTCCTGAAACAGCTGCCTGTGTGCCTGCCTCTCTTTTCCATCAAAGTGCTGTTCCTCTTGAAACAATAAAAGCCCCACTATCCTTTTCCCCACATAATGAGCTATATGCACATCAAATCCACTGGCTGACATCTGTTTTCCTGGTGGATTTTAGGACATTAATTATGCTTCTACGAAAAATTTTCAATGTGTTTCTAGCTTGACAACATTGTGTATGTGTTACAGAGTGTTATTCTGTCAGTCTGTTTCTGGTTTAAACCTATGGTACAATCTATATTCCATTTCCTCAGGATTAGACCTTCCAGAATATTGGACACTTGCTCCTGTCACAGTGAGGGAAAAAAATTATCTTCTTAGATCTTAGATCTTTCTTTAAAAGAGGAAAAAAAAAAATATATGTAATAGCTTGATCTTTCATGCTACATAACAGATACTTATACACAAACACCAGGACGAAAACCCTTACTGAAAAGGTTAGCTCGTGGGGAATCCTTCCCTTTCTGCAAGGACGGAGAGATCCACAATTTCTGTAGCACCATTTTTGCTTTTTCTGCTTCCCACAAACAAGAATGGATTTATCCAATCCATGATAAAAGGCAACATAGGAATGGAAAAATATATCCATTTGACCTCAATCACATTTACTTACACACGTGTGTAACACTGATTTTTCTCAAGCACTCCTGCAGTATGAATGCACCTCTCATTTGAGGCATTCATGCTCAGACTCCATTAAGTGCCTGTCTGTATAATAAATTGCAAGGTATTACATGCACACAAAGGAAACTTTATTTTATCTAGGAAAGGACAAATTTCTGAGCTGCAAATCACAGTGTACCGACATTTTAGAAGCTGCTCAATTCATGCATGATATATAGGTCTGGGTGGCAAACTGTTCTGCTGCTAAAAATATTATTATATATTTTACCTTCCCTGGCATTTAATTTACTTCATCCCAGTGTTAGTCTGGTGCTACCAGTTTGCCTTTGATGGTGTGTATCAATATGAATGAAAAATGCAAGTTAAAATCCCCAAACATATTTGATACCTTGAACGAAGTGATCAAAGTAAAACAGGCTGAAAGGAGTGAAACTCTTCCACATAACTTCATAAAAAGAGAACTATGAAGTATGGAAATTGAAGTTTCAGAAATTTATCATTATGTTCAGACTAGTAGAGAACACACAGACATTTTTTTCCTATCTTCATTTTTAAACACTAACCATAAAAAGTTAATGTAAACAACAACATGTATTGTAAATAGAACTCAAAATCCTACCAGGAATATATATATCTTGTCTAAATTACTTCTGAAAAAGTTACCTTGCAACTTGAAAAATGACATCATTAAGCAATCTCCTAAACTGGTTTTCAGAGATGGCAAACTAATAGCTATTTATCATTTCCCTTTTTAATACCTAAAAATTTCTATTGCAACTTTAAGTTGCAGTTGTAACTTTTTCATCTCAACTCTCTACAACTAAATACACTTTTCTACAATGCATCTATTTGCTTGACACAAACAGAGCAGGGCACCATTTGCCTAAATGCTTCTGATTGCCAAAACCCTTCCAGGAATTGCTTCCATGGTGGATGTTCTTGTGACAAAGTGTTTATAAAATCTTACTCAACCTTAACTCAAATCCTTTAAGGTTTTCTTCACTATTTCTTTAGCACTGGAGCAGCCTCACATACTTCAGGGTAAACAAAACTCCTGCCTGGTCACACTGCTGTTTCATAAGACCAAAAAGATCTCTAGATGCAGGTAGATGTATTAAACAATTACTGTGAATAATAAAATTCAGCAAACAGCTCAATATAAAACTCTACCCTTACTTTAGTCTCAGTTTTGGGAACTAGTGACATGCTCAGACTTATTTTTTAAACGTTGAACATTGATTAAATAGGCGAAGAGAAAATAGTGCCATTAAGTAATTTAGTTCTGTTGACCATTACTACACCCAAACAATTATCTATTAATGTATGAGCACATGGGCAATACATCAATTACACCAGATTTTCTGAACTGTCTTCTCATAAGCCCAAATATTCTTTCACAATAGAATATCTTAGCATCTTATTTCAAGAAATAAGGTTTATTGAAGCTAGGTTCTTTGTGTTAAATAGCTCCTGATGTATATTGTTTCTAAATAAAATGGTCATTCATAATAATTTAAACCTTGCTTTTCAAGTGTCATTTGGGAGAAATGGAAAGAGGCAAATTTTCATTTCACTGCTACTGGTGAAAATGCAAAATAAGAAAGAAAATAAATTGCACTTACACTTGCATAATCAAGATCAATATTTGTCATGTGGTAATAATGTAATAAGATACATCAAATTCGACTTACCCAGCACATCAGATGTCCATGAGCCACAGTTCCACCTCAATCTGAGGAAAACTTGACCTGTTGAATATGAAGCAACACATTTTCACTCATGATAAAGTCTTGCTCTCTTTAGAACAGGCTAACAAAACATGCATTTCTGTGGAGAAGGTCAAAAAGCACTTTAGCACCACGGACAACTTAGGATCCCAAAACTTTCTTTTCACTTTGTGTTACAATTTGAATATGAACAGATAACTTCGATTTCTCAATCAGTGATCTATCTCATTTTAATATTTATAAAGTGCTCACTGAGGTCCAGCATTTGGCTCTAAGAAGCATCTCTGAAAGATTTACAAAATCCCCTAGAGGTTACTGATTGTTAAAAATAGCTATGCACAAATTCTTATGATGCCCTTTGAGTAAACCTGCAAAGACCAGAAAAAAAAAATGTTTTTCTATCTTCACTTCCACTTTTCATCATTCTACATATTTTCTCTCTCAGAGAAAAGTTGAAAGACAATGGAAAGAGAAAATTAGGACTGTCAGGGAGATGAGCAGGCTCTTTTCTGCCAACAGTTTATATCAATTGTATTTTTATAAAATCAGCTCTCTAAAAACCATAGCTGTCAAGTATTTAGTCCTCATCTGTTCTCTCAACCTGAGATCTTGAACAATTTTGCCGAAATTTTCTGAGTTATTAAGCAAGACAAACACGACTCCCCATTCACTTGGACTCGCTAGGAGGCAAGCAGAAATTAGAGGCGTCTAACACTCACAGATGTATGTAGAACATATTTATAATGTTAATATTCTTGAAAAGAAAACAATCTCAACTCTCTACGAGCATGACAATAATATAACACGAATGTGAGCCTGAGATGATACAACACACAATCTCTATCTTTTGGTGCACAGAACTGTGCTATATTAACTGCCTCTCAAGTGAAGCACGAAACATGAATCCACCATTGCTGACTTATATTGTTTCACTGACTCCACTTACATAGCACAAGAAATCTTGTTTCAGAGTAAGCTACGAAAAGATACACAAGTCAGGATTATTTAACCTATGACACCTGATACTGGTTTTTTTACACAGTATCTATTAACTTTGGCCTTCCTATTTTTCTCTTGGTCTTACAGATGCAGGAAACTCGACTGCATCAGAATGGGATCAGTAAGCAAAGGCTCAATCCCATTTCCACTCAACTGAGTGGCAGAACTTCCATTAACTTGAAAGGGAATTACAGCAGTGCCTGAATGGCAAAAGGTGTCCAGGCCCCCTTTGCTTGCCTTTGGCTAGAATGATATCCATCAATACTTTAGGATATAAGACGGAGAAAAAAAAACATTTTAAAATGTAGTTGTTTGGGAGAGTCGAGGCAGGGGATTATTTCCATGGTTTGTTTATTTTGTGGTGAGCCATGTTTGCACATAGCTAAGCACAAACAAGAAAGCAAAATCTAACACTTTTACATGCTGCAAGGTTCAAACAGGCAGTCTGGTTTGCATTATAGACCAAAGTCTCCCTTTATAATGCATCAGGAAATTTCCTCAGGAATAATTCTGTCACAGCATACTTGCATGGTATGAAGAGGAAAGAGATGCAGACCATCAACTTACTGCTACTGCCTGCAAGCAAATTGCTTTGTCACACACACCTTCATGCAAGAGAAGAGTTACACCTTCCTTTGTGCTAATTTGCAGCACTTGTTTGCTATTAGAACAGTTTTCCTAGGGAACATATCAATAATTAAAAGAGACTAGTTTTAAGCCAGCTGGACAACTCTCTGCAGTTCAGGTTAAATGTATGCACTGCTTTCAAACCAACAACCCAAAGCTGATTCTCCACCCCTGTGAATTATACTTCACTTTGTTTTACATTTCCTGTGCCTTGAATGTCTTTGAAGTATTATTTGCATTAGGTCCTCAGAAGCAGTCAAACCTCTGTCTTTGAAATTATTAGGAATAGGAAATGAAACCAGCTCCTTTAGTCCCCTGCTGAGTTCAGAAGGGCCTCTCTTGACATTCCCCTGAAGGTGCACAAATCCTGTGGGCTTTAGAGGGTGGTTGAGGCATTTGAGCAGGCTCTGCCATAGGAAGAGCCATGACTGAGAAGGGCTTTCACAGCCTCGTTCTATGAGGATCTGAAAACATTTTAAAGGTGAGTGGCAGGATAAACACTGTCATATCTATCTCATCTTTATAATACATATGCTAAAGTTGAAGGAAAAAAATTTTTGTTCTATGCTTTAAGATCCATAGTTTCTTTAAGAATAGTACTTATGATTTAAATGTATAGTGGCTTTCTCTTTATTTTCATTTTTGTTTAGAGGAAGGTTTATGAATCAAAATTGGTGTACTGGAAATATATTAACAACACATTCAATCGTTGTTACATATGTTTATCTAGATTTTAAAAATTAGTTTGAAGATTCACCAGGTTTAATAAACAACATTTTTCTTCTTTCAATTTCAAATGTATTTCCTCATATACAGAACTGAAAGCATTTGCTTTTTACATCAAGATGGAGTTCATGACTGAATCTTCTCTTTGCTTCCTTCTTTCAAAAGACCATTCCCCTTTCAGTGCACAGCACACAGTTATGCAATACTAATGATGGAAAAGATCTGTGAGTGAATCCTATTAGTTGTGCTCTGTGCTGTTTGTCTGCAATATGCTGTTTACAATAAGGAATATTTTATCTTTGGACTAATACATCAGAGTAGGAAATGTACTATATGAAAGCTGATACAAATACAATTGGAAAAACGTGCAAGTCATGCAAACCAATATCCAATTTCTTAAGAGTTAAAGCTTTAAAAATGTGTAATTTTCTCAGTGAGCAAACTATTTGGCATGGAGTGTAATTCTGTTTTCCTCTTAAGGCTGTTTTACATTTACCATATATATGTGTTATGTATTGTTTAATTCTCCCTCAAGCAACAATTTAAAGACCCTCAACTCTAAGTTATTACTCCCTAATGTCTGAGGCAAGGTATTAATTTATTGTTTCAAGTACAGGAAGCAACAACAGCTCAGGTATCACAGTGCCTCTAAAGACAAAGGTTTGTTTAGCTGCTGCTCTTTCCCTGCACAGAGCTTCCCAATGAGCCAGTCATGATGGGACAAGCAGAGCAAAACTACATGTCCTGAAGAATAATTTGCTCACCTTCATGGGAAGGACACGCAGACAGCAAAAGTCATGCAAAACAAAGACAATGTGAGACCCTTGAGGGAGAGATTGCTGTGTCTGTGGCTCCCAAGGAACAGGCTCCTTGGGGAGATGTTGCTAAGATGAATTTTAAGAGAAATCCCATGATACTGCTTCTCTTTTCTGCCATCCATAGTGTGATAAAACTCGGTGATACAGCAGTTCCTGTTTCATAGCTGTGGTACATGAAGAAAGAGTACCTCAAAGCCAAAACACATGTGGAAGAGATGAGCTCTTGATTTCGGGTCTAAATTCAATATTTTGTAAATCATAGAAGCCTCCACATTATACTACAGCAATTAAACAAGATAAATTTTCACATTGTTCTCTAGCCATGAAATTCTGTAAAGCACTAGATAAGGATTGCTTCTTTCATCCAGAGCACCAGGAGGCCGCTGGCAATTTATCTGAGAGGACTTTAGATAGAAACAAAAAAGGCAGTGTTGATTAACATAACTCAGTATTTTCTTTTTCGGAGTTTAATGTAACTGAGAAATTGAATGTTTGGGGATCTGAGTTAATGCACTGCTTGTGCACACAGAAGATACAGAATTAACATGAGCAGGTCAAGCTTTTCCAAGACTGTTCCAGCTACGGTTCATTATCTATGGACTTCTGAAAAAACCAAAGCCTAAATGCAACTCACAAACCAAGTCAACTACCCAAACCTAAAATAATAACTAGTTAGATTAAGTAGATTTGCATAAAGGAGAGGGGGGAAAAGCAAAAAGCTTTTTATCAAACCATTCTCATAATGTTGTGAGACCATTTTAAAATGGAGCCAGTGAAGACTGCTCTATACACTCCTTATGCTCCTAAGATACTTTTTTTTCCCAAATAAAAAGCAAACAAAATTAAGTCTTACCAAGAAACATTGAATTTCATGGCTGGCATTTTGGAATACTTTATCTCTAAACTTTAAAAATGGTGCTACAAGAAGTTGGACCTTGTTAATTCACTAATGTGACCCTGAGAAACATTGCAAGTTAACACATTTAGATAAATGAGCAAACAAGTCAGAAGTGGGGGAAGGAAAACAGCTCTGAAACACAGCTCTACATCACATTTAGCAAAGGCTAAAACTAAGTACAGTTGCTAAAGACATCAACAGCACAATGCATTCAAAATATCTATTTACAATAACTGATACTTGACTAATTAAAATTTCCCAGTATCACAAGTGAATTTAAGTAAACTGCAATTATTGTGCAGACACGTTTCTGACCTGGCAAAGTGAAACCTAGTGATGCAAAATGCAGTAACTTACTAAGAGGCTGACAGCCACAAGCTGCTGAGGTCAGGCACTGCATTCTGGAAACAGTGATGCAGCACCTGTATCATGGCAGAGCACTTTGTGCAATCAGAGGCAAGACAAAACTCACAGGAGCCTTGCATCTGTCCAGCTCCTATGGATCACTTAATGAAGGAATGGAAAGGAAACACACTGCGTGTCAGGGACAGCAAAATGAAGCATTTAAAATTCATATGTGAAATGATAACAAATACAAAAGTGTCTTGAGCATATGTGGGCCAGATAATTGGTAGTGCCAAGCTGTGCTCTCACAGGGCTGTACTCAGAGAGCAGGTCTGCAGGTCCTTCTTTCAAGAACATGTCTTAGTTTTTTGTATATAGTTCTTTAATAACTCTGTTTAAAAATCTATTAAAGTTCTAGATACTAAAAAAAACTGAGAAAAATATTTAAACACCTACATTTCAGTTTATACATATAAATATTTAAGTACAACTTTATGTTCCGAACTTCTTCCAACTATTAAAAGGCTGAGTCTGACAGGACCAACATATGTGTTGTAGATCTCATGGTAGGATGTTCTCAATTCTGTGACTTTTCTTCTTTATTCATA